CATTTTATCTGTAAACAACAGGCTCTTTCCCAGTGCTCCTATTGTTCCAGTGACCACCAGAGCCTATACAGCATCGGTCTCTGCTGGATGGTCCTGGCAAGCAGGCAGGGACTCAGCATAAACTGAATATATACACTCAGCATAAACTGAATTCTCCTCCCTCCTTGAGCCCCCATGCCCAGTCAGCTCTTCCCTCAACTGCACAGACCCTCATCAAGATGCTGCAAGTCTTTGGCAGCAAGGATGGCAGTACTGGCTATCATGTGGACATCAGTCCTTGGAGAGCTGTTCTCATCCAGCGCAGGACACACACCTGTCAGCTGGCTCTTGCTGCACGGCACTGGGTGTGACGCTTGGGAGCAGGGTCATCTTCTGTGAAGCCAATTTACTCAAATTCTTTTTGAGGTCCTTTTTTTTCCCCTCTTGAAGGGGAAACTCTCCAGCATTGCTGTTGTGAGAGAAGTTATTCTGCAAGAACTTTTAAATAGCTGCCCATGGGGACAAAGTATGATGAAAAAACAGTCATTTCGTTCTGGTGTGATCACACCCATTCATGAGCCCACCTCTTTCCCCTCTCTCCAATCCACTGCAAATTAGTTTGCTCAATTCAGCTGCAAGCTCATTGCAGGCAAGGATGAGAGGACCACGGCTTGGCCTGTGACGGGACAGCTGCCCAGCTCTCCTCACTGCTTCAAACAAGCAGCAGAGCATGCAACGCTAGCGTGTAGCCTGCTCTTGGGAAGGGATGTGACTCCGCAGCCTTCTCTGGGGAAATAAAGTAACAGTCCTGGTGAAAGCACAGCAAAGACTTTCAGCGGCTGTAACTAACATCAAACCACTTGGAAAGGGCTTCTTGCTCTCAACTTCTCTGCCTCTCCCACTCTCCGGGAATCTCAGAAAGGGCATAACTGGAATCCCCGTCTGGGGAAGGGGAGGATAAAGAACACATAAACACCCAGCCTGGGATTTCCCACAGCTATTGCTCGTACCACACAGACAAGAGCCACGTGCGGCAGCTCCAAAAGTAACTCACAGGAAGGGAAAGGCGTGAGATTGTTTGTGTGAAATATATACACCAGGCCTCTGTTTCCCTGAATGTAGAAGCAAGGCCCGGGGTTTTGCCAGCAGCCTGCTGCCACCCAGCCTGCTCTCTTACGCTAGCAGGTATTCGTCTGCAGCAACAAACATCCAGTCAGAGGAGATTTTCAGGATGGGTTGCTTGGCAGGGAGGGAAGGGGCAAGTGGGTGTAGAAGAGGATAAACCTGTAATGTTCCTCAATTGTGGCACAGAAGCAGGCCTCAGATTTCCTCCTAGGGCTCAAACTCACCTTGGCAGAGCTCTTATCAGTGCTCAGCCACGCTCTCACGCAGGGGATGAGCCACAGTTGCCTGGTGCACCGGGCCCTTCCGGGAACTGCAGGCTCCATTCTTTTTCTGCCCTAGACTGACGCAGTTACAGCCTTCCTCAGGGCTGACCCAGTGGCAGCTGAAAGCCACAGGAGACACGTGGATGCAGCAGAATGAGACACACAGAAGTTGTGCTCTGGCACAGGCAGGATGAGGTGGTTGCCGGTGGGGGAAACTACTTGGGGGCTAGAAATCTGCTGATCGCCTTTACAGAGAAGCAGACTCAGGAGAGAAAACCCTTGTCAAGCAGTTGAGCTCTGTCCTAACTCCTCTGCATCACAAAGCACATGCCACTGGTGTAATTACCTTCTTGGCAGATGAGTACACTGGTCATGGCCCATCATTAGCTGCTGAGCAGCAGCCTTCCTTGCCAGCCAGAGTATCCTCTCTACAACACTAACCTCTCTGAGGAGGGAGGAGCAGGAGAATAACACTTTCAAAACAGTCTGCCTTGCAAACCATGACCTCAATATTGTTTGCACTGAAGTCCAAAAGCAGGAAGAAGATCAGTCTCTTCACATTTTTTGCGGGCATTCAGTAACTAACCTCTGGGACCCGGCTGCTTACGAGAGAGAAAATTTCTAAAAGACAGCAATAAAGAGGACGTGGGTGCAGGGGGAGGAGGAAAGCAGGGAGGGGGAGAGGAGGGATACGTATGTCACAGCTTACCTCAGAGCCAGAATTAGAAGCTGGGTAAAAAAAATAAAATCACAGCAGGAAATAATGTGTGGCTTAAAATAGCAACATCAAATGCGAGCGGGAATGGGGAGTGGGTGGCATTTGAGGTTGCTGCTCTGTTCCTCCCTCAATGGCAGGGTGATTAATATGTCTACGCTACTTGTATTTATGTAACAAAGGGCACTAAAGGCCAAAGCTGCATTTTCACTAACACTGCAGGGGAGTCTGTGAATCTTTTCTTCCCCCCAATAGCATTAAATGTGAGGATCTGCACTTGCGCTTCCTGACTCAGAAACAAAAAAAAAATCTTTAAAAAAAATCCATGCTTCAGCCCTGCACACACAGCTACATTTCCACAGCTTGGCATGGTGGCACAGAGACCTTTAAGGCTTTGAAGACATTCTGCTGCCTTTCACAGCTCCCCACAGAAAAAGCCTGTTCCCAGAGCACACCTGTAAACATGGTTGGGTTGTCTCTAGCTGGAGGCTGCGCTGCAATAGCAGGCAAGGTACCACTACATGTTCCTACATTTTCATGCTTGTTCTCCGTATTTCCAGTGAATCATAGATCTTTGAGATGGGTCATGCAGTCCATTTCCTTGCCAGCACAGGATTGTTCCCAGCCATGTACTTAAACCCTCACGTTTCCCTTGCAAGACAATGATTCAGACTGATCACTCTTTTCTCTTCACACTTTATATCCTGAGAACTCCATTAAAGACTCAAAAGCACTGATGTGTTTTGAAAAGAAAGGGATATTGTTCTTGGGTGCATCAAGAACTATTCAACCTACCAAATCACTGTTCACCTATGATGCTGAAGTTACCCAGCAAAGTGGCCTTGGCGGATCTATGGCACTTGTTTTTCAGACTGTTGTGATCTCCTCTGGACTAATAAGCAGAACAGGCCTGCTCTGAACTTGCAGTGAAAGGCAGGAAAGCATCCCAAGAGGTGTCAAAAACTTGCGTCCCAGTTGGCCACACTCAGCACCAACCACTCCTCTGAAAGGCAGTGTGCTGCTACAGTCTCCCCCCTCTGTGTTTTGTCCCCACAGAGAGCAAAGGCAAGAGCAAAGACCTTCCATCTGCACATCCAGCATAAGTCTGCCCCCGCTCCAGTCAGTCCTATCAAAATAATGCTTGCAAGTATCTGTACATGCAAATAGGATAAGACCAAGTTTGTCATGTGATAAAAACCTGCTGCACGGGCTTGATCCTGATATTTCCTGACATCAGCAAATATCTTTGATATAAGTTGGGCTGTGCTGCTGTCAGAGTAGGGAGAATCTGGCCCAGATCTCATGCAAATCTTCACACAGGCAGGCAGAGCAGCACAATTTGTTTAAACATGGCATGCTGGTGGTTGCAGACAGAAATCACTCCCAGCAACTCCATCAACATGCATAATATCCTGCTAGTTAAATCCAGCCATGGTAAATATCTCCACCGTGTTATCCCTCCAAGCAAATATAGTACCTGTATGGAAGAAATTCCTCAGAACGTTTCCTGTCTGGAGCTGAAGCTTGCCAGGGACTGAATTTCCTGTGAGGCTACAGTTGGGAATGCAAAGCAAATAAGCTAACAAGAAAATGAGATGATACGAATTTGGACCTGCTCTACACAGATCCTCCTCAGCAAGCACATTTCCCTCCTGTTTACATAAAAATGAAGCGCCTAGATTTTCAAATATCAGTTGGGTTATTTTTCATTAGTAATTCTTATTTTTACCCCACTGCCTCCCTTTCTACCTGTTTTTTTCCAGCTGCAATTCTGTGACTTACACATCCTGAAAATTAAAGAGGTTGTTTTTGCCAATAGCAAAGTGATATGCATCCTTTCAACCATCTGGAAATGGATTTTTTATTCTTCCCCTCTCCCAACCCCACACGCACGTGCACACACGCAACCGAGTCTTTGTCTCTTGGAATCATTTCCCGCACCAAAGCTGATGGCCATGAAAAGAATTCAATAAAAATGTTCCACAGGCATTAAGAGGCCAGACAGAAAAAACAAAGTGACTTCCTGGGCACTCGTTCTCATCCAAACTGCCACCTCATGAAGAAGTGATGAATGCAATGGAGCATACGGTTCAGTTGTTAGAGATTAAGAGAGGTAGTTTAAGGCTCCTGAGTTTTTTCCTGGCTCTGCTACAAACCTCCTTTGTCACTGAGAGCAAGTTGCCTACTTGCTTAGTGCCTCAGCCCGCCCCCAGCCCCCCACCCCATCAGTAGTAAATAGGGATACACTTTCTAACCCGTGTGATGATCAATGCATTTGTGTTTGCAATGTGAGCTGATCTCCAGAGATAAGGAAGTAATCTAAAGTGAAAACTGCCATGAAAACTCTATGCTGAGCCTAATAGAGTCAAGCAGGACACTTTAGGAGCCAAAGACCAGACTTGATCATCCCTTGCCCAGAGGCAAAATGTTAAGTGAGCTATGTCACCACGCTATCCAGATGACTGCAGGTCTGCAGGAGGAAACAAAGAAGAGCCAGAGCCACACTGACTGGTACAAACATGCTTATGGTGTCCAGCTGAGAATGAGTAACAGCTGCTTGCTCATCATCCTGATTTCTGTCACTACTAGTGTTTCTGAATGCTGAAGTGTCCCAATGCTGTGACTCAGGGCTGTGAGTCATGGGCTGTATGTCTCCACCGCATGGAATCACTCACTTGCTCTCTTTGATGAGATTGCAGAAATCACAGATCATCTTGGGTCTCTTACAGTGGCAGGTCTTAAAAATATAGACATATTTACAAACACATTCAGAACAAAGCCATTCTGTCTCAAATACTGTCTACTGGGGATTTGTATTAGAGCTCAATTTCACATACACAACCCACCCAATAAATCTAGGAAGAGTCTTTTTTTCCTTCTGTGGACATTTAATTTCTATATCCTCAAAGTCTGGCTAAACAGGATGCAGTGCAGGTAGCATTCAATCTTTTGCTTCCCCTGCTTTTACCAGTCACATTTTTAGACCTGAAATGCTGACATCAAGGCGACACAATGCTTTTTGGCACCGGATCTGCCTCATCCTTGTCAAGGCTCTCCAGCCTTCCCAGTAAGGAAGCTTTGATCTAGTGGCATTCTACTAACCTCAGTGCTAGGCTGCAATTAGTTGCACGCAGGGCTGCAGCAGAAGCCCTCTCTGAGTTGGCTGTCAAGACCTCAGAAAAGACACCAGATACTGCCAAGGTATCATCATATCTGTGTTGACCACATACAATGCAGCAGACTATTTTCCCATCTACAGACTGCAACAGCAACCAGCTGCGCATTCAGGAGCTCACCTTCAGTTTCTGTAAATTCTCTGTTGATGCAGGTGCAGCTGAAAGAGCCACCACTTCCTCTTCAGATGAGGGAGAAGGGGCTCACCTCAGCACTGACCTCACTGGCTGGGAACCTCCTGCACTGTCCACCCATACAGCACCTAATCAGTGAAGTGGAGGCCCCACACTGACAAGAGTGGGATTGCCGATACTCCTCTAGTGGCAGCACAGTTTGTGTTGGCAAAAGAGTGTTTCTGTTGGCATATGCCTCTTCCCAGAATTGATTAAGTCATGCCTGGTTTTGCAAATATCTCTGCAGAAAGGTGTTTTGCCGGCGTAAAGATGTGGTAAAGAATCACTCTCTCTGCTCACAGGCAGCCTGAATCCTTCCCACAAAGGTAGACAGAAGATTGTGTTGGCAGTCTCTCTGAGTGGGCTTCTGTGTGCTGGGACAGGGTGAGTGCACTTATAGATCTGGAGTAGTGCAGACAAACACCGAGATCCATACTAAGAAAGCAAACAATGCTCTGAGCACAGGGACTCCCGGGTGATAGGAAGTGACTTCAGCACACCAATTCCTCTATTCCCGTAACTCTCTGTGGGTTTGCCAACAATCCTTATCATCCTTGCTGAGAAAGGAGCGGTTTGCTAACTGATTACATCCGCGTTTCCTTACTGTGGTCAGTCAGTTGCTGCATACCAGAAACAGCTGGTACAATTGATAGATAAGCACACATCTCAATGGATTTTCCTCTGTCTGCTGTAACCACATCCATCCCTGCAGCCACGAGACAGGCAGTTCTAGAAAGGAGTGAAACAACACAGAGCAGTTTTGTTACCAGTTTTAGTTTTCTAGAAACCCTAATCCAGGGAATATTGACTTTTCCCACATTTCCATACAAAATACTGCAAGTCTCCGTAATGGCAGGCAGGATGGTCCCAACCCTCCCTACCAGTCCCCCCAACACAGCACATCCCACAGCCCAACAAGACAAGACCCCTGCAAACAAGGCAATTCAACTGCTGGACCAAGAAGATGCAGGGCTCAAGACCCAAGATATCAGGACCCCCGAGATACCACATCTAAGCCAGGATCCGTGCCCTGTGCTGACACAAGGTCGAGTCTAACAACAGAACCTGAGACTAGCCAAAAAATGAGCAAGACCAAGTTTTTTGAGGACAAGCATGAATGCATTTGGAATTTTACCCCATTTTGATTAAAGCTCTCTGCACCTTGAGTTCAGCATTTTTGGATAGCCTGAAGGCACTCTTCAAATGCAACAGCACGGTTAAGTAATAAAATGCCTCACGATCACCTCTAGTCCAAGCACATTGCCCTCTTTTAAGCAGCACATCATGACAACAGTCATCTCAGGCCAAATTTCTCTTCAATTTGAGTCATAGGAGTATCATCAGAGATGGAGTTAGCCTAGTTTATTAAGTGACTAGAAAACAGCCAATATTATTTTGGTTTCTGTCCTTTTTTTCTGTATTAGTTCCTGGAATCTGGTTTGTACACATGACCCTTCCCTTGCTGTGAGCTCACACCATGAGATGGGCAGGAATGTTCAAATAGCATCTTCTTTGACCTGTCTGGTACTGAGACATTTGTTGTTGCTTTTTTTGAGGTTTCTGAGAAGCTCCCACAAACCTCTGTCCCCCCATCTCCTGAACTGCATCTGCAGCATCCAACCACAGTCCCTCTGGAGGGCAGCGTGGCTCTCACAGTGACGACACTACACTCTTAATTTGTTCCAGTCTGTTTCACACTGACATTTTAGCACTGACGTCATCAGCTGCTGAAATTTCATTGCTGCTGCTAAGAATAACAGCCCTCCTCATCCACCACCTTACACCAAATAATTATTTTAATACAGTAGGGATCTAGGCTTATCTTTTCTGACACAAATCAGGTTCTGGTGGTTAAAAGAAGAAGTAAGAACAAAGCATTGCAGATGCTTTTCTGTTCTGTCAGCCTGGGACAAAAAAAAACCCAACCCAATACAAAAATCAAGAGTGTATTGCTAAGTGCTAAGAGTGCTATAAAAAATGAATGGGAAAAGTTCAGACTGATTTGTTTAAAGCAGTTGGACAGTCTTAGGCATTGCAAATTGCTAAATAGCCTAGGCTACAGTCTGCCCCAGCAGTCCCTTACAAAGCCCCTTCCAAACTCTCTGAGGCTTTGTACCTTGAATATTTACTTACACTGGTGCAGCGTGGACATAAAGTACTAACAAGTCAGAATTTCCCATTGACTTTGGGGCCTGAACCAAATCCCATTGATTTCCGTGGGAGGATTTCTATTAACTTGAATGGGCATTGAATCAAACCTAAATTGGCAGTGCTCTGCACCCATTTGGCACAGTGTAGTTCTCTGCATAAGGTGGAGAATCAGGTCCAAAGACACTAAGAAATGCTTTAATTAAGAGCATTATTGAGGAAAGCAAGCTTTTCCTTCATTAAGCTGATAAACCAGATTTACTCTATACTTTTAATGGCAAAGGGTCAGATTTTCAAAGACATTTGGTCTAAAGATGAAGCTGAGTGCTTACAGGATTTCCAAGAAATGCTTAAAGGCAAATCAGGTACTGTGAAACCTTTCAAATCAACACATCTGTATCCTTATTTACATGCTTTCAAAAATCCTAGGAGCTACCTATTTGCATTTTTTGTAGCCTTATACACCTATTTTGGTAGTGTTCTAAATCTCATCAGAAGTTATAAGATGATCATTGCCTGCAGCCAGCATCCAGGTATACACACTGATTCCTGATCAGGCCTGGGCCCTCTAAGGCACACTGAGAAGCAGCTGCAGTAACTGCACCAAGTATTGCCCATGGGTATCTGCTCCCTGTGTCCCCCCATTCCCCACAGAAGAACGGCACGTCCATCGGGCACAGCAAGTCATCTGCAGTCCCTTATGGTCAGGAGTGGCAAAGGCCTTTAAAAACCAGACATGCAGAGGTCCTGGAATTGTTATTTTCAATCCCTGCTAGGGAAGTCAGCGGCTAGCACAGCTTCCACTCCAAAAGCTGACCTGAACCTAGATGGACTCGCATCTGGTCAAGGAGAAAATTCTCACAACTTCTTTGTTACTGCTTTGCCATCAACTCTGAGGTCTGGAATAATTTCCTGTGTTGCTGCTGACCTTCTCAGGCACCTTCCTCTACTGCTTGATCTCTAGAAACTGATGCCTTCATTATCTCTGCATCTCCCTTTACTACAGAATAACGCACGTTTTAGTAGCTGGCACTTCTGATGGATCCTTCAGTTACTCAGCAGAAGTTATTTTGCCTGGCTATTATTTTTCATTTGGACTTGAGTGTTTGGCATGGTCTTTTTCTGGAAAGTACAGGGAGATTGATGATGAGGCATGAGAGACAGACATCTCTGCTTAAAAATCCTAGAGGCTGCAAAAGAGAGAAGATGAAAGCGGCATTGTCACACTAAGAAGCCTTCCCCTGAAGTGCCGCAGGGGAAGAGATCGGGAAAAGGTTGATGATAGAGAGGAAAGCAAAGAGAAAGTGAAAGTGGTGTCAAAGCCGAGCCTTGAACATGAAGTACAGGAGCTAGGAATGTCTCTTCTGACCCCTGGCAGCCATTCTTTTTTGGCCTGAATCAGTCAGCAAGGTCACATGCCACTGGGCCAACAGGAGCATATCTCTGAGCTGACGTGCCTCTCCCAGCAAACGTCAGGATGGGCTTGGTTGGAAGCCTGAGGGATAGTTGCAGCCACCTGATTTCCTCAGCCCCCGTGCTAACCTCTTCCTCTCTTCCTCCCCATGACTAATTTCCCTTCACCTCCTCCCACGCAGACCCCCAGTTCCTCACCCCGTGCATTTTTATGCACAAAAGACACTTGCTAGATTACACCACCTGCTACTGGGATAAGTATCAGGTAAAGAGATAGGAATGTACTGAGCAACAGACTCCTAAAAACCAAGGAAAGGAAGAAAAATTTCTGCTTGGCATTGGCACAGGGGCAACTCTCAGACCAGCTCCTTCTGATAAGAGACCTGCTTCTGGGTTGGAGTTAAAAATGTGCTCTTTAAAGAAAATTTAAGTTGCTAAAAAAGCTGCTCACTACAAACAATAAGGCCTCAAACACTCTCATGTCTGTGCTGGGGAGTCAGAGGGCCAGATCATACCAGAGCTGGTTCAGCTCCAAGGGGGTAAGTCATGACTTGGAGCCACGCACTGAAAGCAAAGCTGTGCCCAGCAGGGTTCCTGGGTGTGAGTGGGAATGGTGCTGCCCCACCATATACATTTTTGCTTTCTTTTGCTGACATCTACAAAACTGCTCCCAGCTTCAGGCTGTGGCTCTGGTTCTGTTCCATACCAGTTCTGCCGTGGTGCTGCGCCACCAAGGAGCAGTTTTGAATCTCAGCTTTCCCAGGGCGAGCAAGAGGGGGAATAGGCCTATGGTTTTATTTGTTGCTTACACCAAAAAGCATTATCTAATTAAAAATCATTAGAAACCACATCCATTTGCAGAAATGGCTCCGCTTCAGAGGAATCTCTTGAGGCAAATAAGTGAGTAATTTTTAAGGGTTTATGAAAATAGCCTCTATAGTTACACTCGCTAGGATAAAATTACAAGTGTTTTCAATCCTCATACTTTGGGGCATAAGTTGATCCTCAGCTGGGGGCCAGGGAGGAATTTCCTCCCAGAGGATATTATTGTTCTGCGAAGTATCTCATGGGAGATTCACATCCTCCACAGTTATCTGGCATTACCCACTGGAGGGAAAAAAAAAAAAAAAGAAAACCCAAGAAGAGGTACTGCTCAAAACGAGCCAGTGCTCCGGTCTCCTCGCATCACACCTCGGGGGCCCGGGCAGGGGTGGCCCCCGTTGTTGCACAAGCTGCCCCGTCCGGTGTTGTAAGGGACCCCGGAGGTCCGGGAAGGGCGCGGGACGGTCCCGCTCCTTCTGGGAAGCGCCGTGACTCACCCACCGCCCCGGGACCCTTCCCGGCGCGCCTCCCGCCCCGCCCCTCGCCGGGACAGCCAATCACCGCCCCTGTATTTGCATACCGCTCAGGGGTGCTCCTGGGATGGCGGCGGGGGCTGCACCTCCCGCTCCTCTCCCGCCACCGCCGCGCCGTCGCTACGTGCGGAGCGGTACCCCCTCGGGAAAGAGCGGAAGGTGCATCCTGATGGAAAGCATCCCTCACCCTTACTTTAGGATGAAAGAGTGGTAGGGTTTTATATACGGGGTCAACAGAAGCACAGAATTGCCCGGATGACCCTCAGTGGTCTGGGGTGCAGGCTTCAAACCTGTAGCTGTCTAGCGACAGAGTGGTTCAATTCCACCTTTCGGGCGACAGACAGGGACAGCAGCGCTAACACTGCATACCTTTTTGCCCCTGCCAGGCCTCCAGCCAGCCCTCGAGGCAAAACACAGCACCTTCCACCTCCTCCAGACCTGTCACCATAGGCATACATTTTGGTTACCCTCTTTCCACTTTTCTCCCACATCACTGGACTGTGCTGGGCACAGCCAAAGGAAGGGAAATCTCCCAAGGGTGCCTGGGTGACAATTCTAGATTTTAATTGGATTCTTTTCTGTTTAGCATATCTTTGTTAAACAGTGTCACACATCCTACAAGAACAGAAAAGAAGTAAATAACAGAAGCCATTCTCTAGCTCTGCTCCATATTGACGATAACCCATCTCCCACCCACACCACAACAAAGATGCTTCACTTCAGCAGTAGGCATGGGTGCTAATAATGTCACCCAGCCCCATGAAAAATAAAGGTTAGCATCAAGCTAAAAAACATATTCTTCAAGCAGAAGGCATTTATTTCATGATATCCTGTTGCAGCAACTCCAGTGGATGATTTGTGGAGCCTCTAGTTAAAACGAGACCCCAACCACCTGGACCACAGGGGACAGCAAGGGTTGAGAGGGCATTTTCACTTTATTTCCTGGCCCCACGGGCTGGAAGGGCAATTCTGCCTGGTGAATTCCAGAAGAAATACTGAGTGAATTATCAGATCTCTGGTGTTCCTGGGTGCTTTCTGAGGGATGCAGTGCCATCCGGAGTTAAGTAGGTAAGCACCCCTGAGGATCTAAGCCAGAATGACTGTGCTTCCTTTACACAGAATGAGTCACTCCAGCTGAAGGCCTGGGAGGAGGAGGGAAGGGCACTGAGAGCCCTGACACCATTCCTGATGGCTGCTACTTCTTCAAGTCTGCAGACCCCGGAGCCGTTTAGAGAGGAGCAGCCTTGATGCCAGCACAGCACATCATTCCAAGAATATGCTGTCCCATTATGGGAAATCTAGGGGGAAAAGCCCCTCTGAAGCACGTGCCAACTTCTCTATGGCCTTGCAGGAGATGTGCGTGCACTCTCCCCGGCACAGCTGGGAGCGCCCCAAGTCCCAGATGGCTATCTGCTCCATGCCACTCTGCCTACCAGCCAGCCTCCCCTGCCCATAATGAACTGTCGATGTGGAATTTCTCTGCGGCCTCAGAAATTGGTATCTGCGCCGCAGTTTGGCTGGGGGGTTGTGTTTTAGGGGTGAGGAGGAGAGTTGGAAAGTCCTTTGCCCAGTAGTGGGCAGCTGAGAATCCTAGTGCTCCATGTCAGTTACTAAGCAGAACATAATACGGCTCTTTCATGTGGTGTTTATAACTGAACATGCTGTTTTGTGTCAGCCTGATTTTTTTTTCCTTCCAAGAAGTAGTTTTGGATTAAATTATGACAATTACATTCTTATATTCACCCCCCCAGCCAGCCCCCACCCTTGCCCTGCGTGCACACAAACACAAATGGGAATTATGTGCTTTGAGCGCGATTTGAACTACACAGCCTGGGATCTGTGCCTGGCATTGAGTTCACTTTTTTTCCTCCAGAACAAAAAGGCCACATCCACTCTGCACTCCTTCATTGCCTTAGGATAAAGTAAGATGGTCAGATTGCTGGTGTGGGTGATTTGTCCCTCAGGGAGTTGATAGGGAAAACAGACTTTCAAGCACATGACAGAGGAGGCTGGCAAGGTCCCGCTGGGGAGGTCATGGTAAGCAGCATGAGGAGAGCTTTGTGAAATCCCCTGTGGATCCCTACTTGAGATGCTTACACATCCCCAGTCTGGCTCCTGTACCTGGGCAGTACCTCATCTGGGGAGTAAGGCAGGCACATGGCAGGAAGCAATCCCATCTTTTTGGGCTGTGCCGTCCAGGGCTGCACCTCTAGCACATGGTTGAACCCCAGGAAACACGGGTGTCCATTAGGACAGGAGACATGGCAAGGCTGCTCTCACAGCTTTAGCTGACACAGTAGGTGGGACAAGGCCTTAAGAAGCAGGGCACCCTATATTTTGGTGCTGTTTTTTAAACACTGGTTGGAGAAGAACACCAGTGTGGAGGCCTGTGTAGATGATCTGTCTGTAGGAGGGACATTTTGCACAATGCCATCCATGTCTTGTCTGAGTCGGCTTTGTTTGGAGTCGCTCATTAGTCAGGCAAAGCTTCCAGTGTTTGAACCTGAATGTCACTTTCTTCCCTGACAAAGGGCCAAATTAAGTGGAGCCAAAGGCCTCACCACTGGTTAGGAGGCAATCCAGGGGTTACTCAGAGCCAAGACCCACGAGAGCCTGGCTCCTCAGCCGAACGTAATCTGCCTCCTGTTGTTTTCCCCACGGAGTCACAGCACGGTGAGGAGGATGTGCTGGTGACAGATGGCTGACGCGACTTGCTAAGTGTACGGGTGACTGGGCTCTGACTCAGCAAGTGTTTGGTTACAAGAGATTGGGAGCATGTGCTTTTGCATTGGTAACAGTGGCTCTAGCTGGGTCTCCTGGAGGACCAGGCATGGGCTGTCATCTGAAGCCTGTGGCTGCCGTCTTCCATGGAAGGAAAGCAGGCACACGTGGCCCATTAGGGCAGAAAGTCAGGCTCCTAAATTACTGTTTACATTTGTAATGGATAATGTCTGAGTGTGTATAAATATGTGACGTGCCAGTGGTGGTTAGATGTCCTACTGGCCTTCAGAAAGGAAACCATTCGATATCCTGGCCTAGAAAAACTACCATCTTGCTTGGAGGGAGTAGGACTCTGAAAACTTCTGTTGCAGTTGAGTCACTAGAGGGGGACAAAGACCTAGCCTGCATATGCATCCATCTACCAGTTCCCCCACTGCAGCTGTGGGAGACACCTTGGAAAAGCAGCAGCAGAGATGGCTCTGATCTTCCTCAGGTCTGAAGGTGCCCAACTGCTGGGACAGCTTTCTGGAGGCTGAGCACACAGCTGAGGATCAGCAGTACTTGGGAAACAAAGCCACTCCTTTTCCCCCAAGAAGCAGGATGGCACATGTATGTGCATGTGCAGGTTAGCAGCCTTTATGTTGGCTCTTCCAGCATTTCTCCCTACCTAGAGCCTGACTGTCCATAGTTTGCCTGAGCTCTCAAAGGCTAAATTCCAAGCACTGCAGAGGACAAGATGGTGTCCCCCAGGCAGAGGACCTAGATAATCATTTATGTTTACAGGCACATGCCATTTTTCTCCTTTCTCCTCTTTTATGAATGGGAAAGAACTGAATTTTCAGGTCTGGATGGGTGCCAGGAGTTACTGTTGTCTCTGTGAGATAAAGACGTCATGGAAATATTGGAGGAGTTGAACAGAGTGTACCTGTGTGCATCCCACACATGCACAGACAGCCAAAGTGGCCGTGGCAAGCAGCACAGCAGTGCTTGCAACTAACATATTGACCTGGAGTGCTTAAAAGCTACTACACATGCTCTCCTGGTGAAATGTCGGCCGTAATGACTCATACAAATGGATCGTGATACGCAGCCCTCAGCCCAGCCAGGCTATGTGTGGAACCAAGACACTCCCATTTTCTCCCCTCCAGCATGCTTCCCTGACCAAATCAAGGACTGAGCCATTTGGCTCTGACTAGAGCTGGTCAGAACATGTTTCTCTTTTCTTCTCTTTTCCCCTCCTTCACCCTTTGGAAAATGTTGACATTTCAGCAAAGGGCTGAAAACCCAAATCCTGAATATTTTCCATTGGAAAATGCTGGGGGAAAGGGAGGGGAATAATCCCCACACTGCCAACAATCAAACCTCTTTGGCTTTTAAGACCTTGGGGTTTATAGGGGGGGCACATTTGGAGGTCAGTGAACACTTTCTATGAAAGTATCTTTCCTTTCAAAACCAAATTTTTCACTAGAAAAATGTTCCAACTGGCATAATTTTCACTGGTGATGGTTTGGACCCTCTCTACATCTAATTTGGACCTGAAGAAAATGTAATTCATTTTATTGGAATATAAGGCACAAGTGACATTCCCACAGCAGAATTAATATATACTTGGCATTCTCAGTATCATGAGACTATACCCTGATATTCTTTCTTTGTCAACAATGCTGTTCACACAATCATCTCAAGAAAGTTTGGAACCAGGTCTCTGGAGACACCACACTCCCACCACACTCCCAGAGCTCCAGTTGACTTGCCTCAGACCTCAGAGCACATTCCAGAAGGGAACTTACCTTTCACAAGATCACATCAAAGGCTGTAAAGGAAGCAATATGCACAGAAAGGCGTTACCTGTAACTATCCCTTGAGTAACTGATAGCACAGAAACACACGGCATTTTGTTCTGATGTCTTCAGCTGATTTACATTTCTGTCTGAATCGTAATGACACATCTGTTTCATCTTGGTTTTGCACATTATTCTGCTTTCCTGTAAGTTAAAAATAAAAAAGAAAAGGGACAATGTTAGCATAACAGAACACACATACTTGTAGGAGATGAATTGTGCCCTAAAACTTTTTCTAAATGTGGCTAATAGCAGGTTACAGTTTATAAAAGGAAAGATCTTAAAATGGGCACACGCTGGTCATAAATAAACTAAGGCTGCAACCTTGCAGAAACTTTTAAAAAAATAGCAGAGTGAAGTTCAGAATAACCTTAAAAGACAAGCAATGGGAATAAAAAGCTTATTTGTTTGAAGACAGATCTTTATCAGTTGTGGGACATCATGATAGCAAAGGAGTAGATTCAATGATCCAGAGAACCTTTTTAATTTGTTGTGCCCCTTTCCCTGTTTTTTTTCCACACTGAAGCTTCCCAGTTACTATTTACATTCTCTCTGGTATGACTTAGCAATTGCACTGCTGCACTTCACTCTGATTTAGTAGAGGTCCCTATCTCCTGTCACTCCCAGGTTTTTCTGAACTAACCTCCTGTATTTTAATTCAGTCAGCACCAAAGAAGGGGCATATTTGACTTCATCAAACCCCCATTTTTTATTCTTTTCAGTTTAGGAACATCTTTTTGAAATTGTTAAAGTTTATGCAGCAGTGGGTTTAGAAAGAAAATGATGCAAAATCTCAATTTTAGACCTCACCTGTGTTGGTTGGGGACAACTAAATTGCATGTTGATAAAAGAAAGAGGCACTTCCTTTATCAGAATGTCTCTGATAACTTAGTGGCAAGAAATACAAAGTTCCCAAGGACCTGCATTGGTGCTCTGTGTCCTTTGTCATAATTTTTCAAGATAAGTAAGCAATTTTTCACTTACAGAACCCTATTCCCGAGTTAATAAAGTCAAAAGATCAAGAGTTCTAGTCCCTCAACTTGAAAACACAACTGCATGCAAGAAGACACAGCAGAAAACTGAGGAACTGCCATCCGGATATGCAGAGCTGTAACTAGCCTTTGGAAACCCACACACACATAGCTGAGATGTAGCTATGAGCTGTCCTTGCTCCCATCAGTACTAAAGGGGCAGATGCAGAAACAAGGAGATTCCAAATAAGAAGATAAAGAGTCAAATGAATCACCCTGTCACTGTGTGAAATGTAACGACTGGGAGAGCCAACAGATTAAGCCAGGGCTTGTGGCTATTAACATTCACGGAAACATGTTCCACAAATTCAGCTTTCCGAGAAAAACTGGATTCTAGCTTCCTTCTGGTAATTTAAAGAGGCAACAATCTGTTCATATGACCTTCAGATCGGGCTGGTACAGGAACTGAATCCTACAATAAAAACTGAAGAATGGCTCTTTGGGGCCAGAGCAGTGGTCCTCCCCACACAGCATTCTGTTCCAAGCTAGGGCAAGGTAAGAGATTGTCCAGGGAGCGCACTCAGGCCTGGACATTTCCCTCTCCCTTTTGTTTCCTCAGCATTCACCTTTGTTGGATTGGGATGTTAGATTGTACATTTTGCCTGTTCCTTTTAGTGTCATTTTATGGACTTGTTGCCTGCAAATTTGTCTAATGCCATTCTGAGCCCACTGGTGCTGTCTGCCTCTGCAGGCTTCTGGGCCAGCAACTTCCAGAAGTCCTCTACCTAATATGATGTAATTTCTTCAGTCTGTTTTAAACTCATCTCAGTCTGTTTTAAACTCATCTCCTACTAGTTTCACTGAGTGCTCCCTGTTCTGCTGTTGAGGGATTTGGCTTCTAATGGCTCTGCATTCACCTCAGCCACCCTGATTTAGCGAATCCAGTCCTTAGCCACCAGAAAAAGAGCGAAGCATTGTGATACTGGGTTGCTCAGCTCACTTCCGTCCCTGACACTTGCTGACCTGCCCAGAATGGTTTTGTGCCTGGAGCACTCTGGCTGTTACCAAACTCAGGGGAGAAAAATAATGGCAAAGCAAAGGGAGTGCAACTTCCTTCCAGGGCTGTACTCCCCACGCAGCTGTTCACCGATGACGCAACGGGTCCGTTTTGCGGTTAAGAGCTGGATGCTGATGGCTCAGTCCTTCTCCTGGGGCTCTGCAGATCTGGGCCCAGCAGGGGGCTGCAAAGCAGCAAGCAGGATTTCAGGGAGGGTAGGCTGGCAGCCCTGGCGGGGGTGTCCGGGGCATCTTCCAAAGTGGCTTTAATTAATGAGCACATGTGCAGTGAGGAGAGTTACAGCATCCCACTCAAATTGTTGACTTGGAGCCGCTTCTGGAGACAGCCGTATTCTGCTCATTAGGAAAGAGCTTTTTTGCAATGCCCTTGGATTGGATGGCTCTTGGATTGCACCACAAGATCAAGTCCACGTACGGGCTGCCTGCCTTTCGGCTGCCAGCTCCAAGAGGGTTGTTTTTCTTGTCTTCTCATTCTCAAGGAGTGCTCAGCCAGATGGCCTGTTTTCGAATGCACTGTGCGTTGGTTGGATGTGTGTTTGGAGAGTCTGCCAGCTTCACGAGAAGGAAGAAAGAGCAAAAGAAAGGGAAAAAAGCGCCATTTGGTATCTATCTCTGGGACCCAGCCAGAGTTGAGGCTCTGTTTGAAGAAAGGGGGAGTCTTAAGAAAGAAACTCTAGACAAAATTGAAAGCTGGAAAAACTTTCAAACTTGACAGACTGGGAGACTGAAGTTCTGTACAACATCCATCTACTACCTGGCTTCATTGCAAACGTGTAGCAGACTTCCTCAAAAACAATAAGAGCAAGCACAAGCACCAAGTGCCTATCTCTCTGCTCTCCCAACATACCTTACCTGTGGGCTGGAATGTGGAGAGGTGACCCAGCCAGCCTGCCCACCAAGGGTGGGTGATGCTGCCTGTGGCTCCTGGGATTTTGCTCTCAGTTCACCAAAACCAGAAATTACAGCATTCAGCCTTGGACACATCTGCTCAGGAAGAGGAGCCACAATGGAGTAGTATGAAATACCCACCACCATGGCCCAACTCTCGAAGAAGCTAGCCTTAATTAGTAAATTAGGCCAGGCCAATGTCATTTTCTTGCACTCCCTGATATTAATTTCCCAGAAAAACCTTCTGTTTATTTGGTGCAGCAAATAAACACAGGCCAAACCAGAGAAATGGCTTTTTCTGTCACTCATTGGCAAATAATTTGAACCTGACAAGAAAAATCTGTTGTTGAAGGGAAGGGGGAAGTTTTAAAGTTTATCGTGTATTGTGCTTGGCTTTCTTTTCTTTACTAGATGCCATGTTGTGGTAACAACATATTGTTACAAGCAGCAGGAAGAGGTCTTGTTGAGCAGAACTGGAGAAAGCCATGTTTGTAACCATCCCTGCTGGCTGAAATGCCACTGTGTGTTACAAGCAGACTTGTCTGCTTGCTTACTGAAACCATGTCACAAAGAAGATGGTTGCAGCAGCATGTGTATCTGTGCAGGTGGGTGTGGTACCTGCAAACCCCACTTCTCCACTGATTGCACCGAATTATTTTCACTGAAGTGTTTGGAATTTGCGAGTCCAGGGTGGACAGTGTGTCCATGGCAACACCGGCTGGGCTGTGTGTCGCAGACACTCTGCAGACAGCCAGGGTACAGGGGGCTCTTCTCACTCCTGCTGTGGGCCACACATCTCAGGCAAAGCCTGCTGGTGTCTACAGCACATCAAAGCACCTGTGGCTTCTGAGGACTGCCTGGCTGTCACTACACCACGTCCAAGAGCTACACAACGTTGACTTCACAGCAGTAGCAAGAACAGCATCTGCAGGCCCCACCCTGTGAAGAGCAGGACCTTTCCCCAAATAGGAAAAGGGGAAAACCTCATCAGCTGTTGGCAAAACAGTGTCTCTGGCCTAGGGGTGCAGATGCCTTCCTGGAAGGGAAGGAGGATTAGCTGGTTCAAGGTAGTGATTACACCACACAAATACATCCTTGCATGAGTAGGAAGGCTACACAAAGAGATTGCCTCCCTTCCTACTCCAAGAGGACCCAATTTTGGTAAATAACCCTGGCATAAAAAACAGGCTGCAGTACCTATATACATAATTAGGATCTTTACAAGAGACTAGATTTTCTGTCTGCCAAAAAGAGGTGGGAAAATCCAACAGTAAGTTCAACCATTCTCTCCAGGGTTTTAGAGGGCTCATTACACCATTCAGGCAATTGCCTGATTGTCACCAAGTGTTGTCATGGAGCTGGTAAAGGAAGGATTTCTGTCCTTAATTGCACAGAAAATTCAGGGGTCTAGGAGTCACAAGATTAGGCTTCGCCACAGTTAGGCTAGTTACTGCACCTCTTGGCAAATGGAAAAAATTATTACCACAACATTCACATGAGTACACTTGGGAGGAGGTAGCTCCCAAACAAAGGTCCTTGGTGCACTTTGGGTGGGAGTTCAGCCAGAAACAACACCCAGCCATCTGGTCACCCAGGCTGCACTGGCTGTGTCAGACATGAATACCAGCCTCTGCATTTTCCACACAAGGTTATTTTCCCCTGCTTTATTTCATTGCTCTAGTGCTACCTGACTTGTGGACATGTGCATTTCCTGCACACTGCACAACATGGCACAAGTTGACAGTTCAGTCTGAAAAAACAATTCCCTCTAAGTTATCTGGCCAAGTATCATTACATACCTAACATTGTCCAAGGAGGACAAGCTAGAAGAATTGTCCAAACATGGGATTTTGGAAATATATGTACTGTAAAGAGAGGGGAGGCCTGTCTTCTGGCACCAGTCCTGGCTGTTCTGTCACCAGCCTTTGTTTAAAACTTTTTAGCCACTCAGTACCTGGATGGGAGATCTCCAACAGATAAGGGACCAGAGGTTCAGAAAGTCTCCTCTCCAGCTACGGATAGGTCAGTACACACCTCAGCATGGCATAAGTGGTATTGCATTGTCCATTATGAACAACAGTCTTGAGTATGGCTGCACCCTAGTTCAGTAGCACCCACTGGGGTACTGCAGAGGATGGCTCCAACTTTGCATCAGAACAACTCATTTAGACACCATTCTCCTTCAATGGCTCAAGGCTTTCAGAGGGTGTGAACTCCCCAATCCAGTTCAAAAATGGCCACACATCTTCTTTTCTTCCATGCATGGCCTCACTCTGCACCCAGAAGTTCCCAGAGCATATTCTTAACCTCATTAAGAAAATCATGTTGCTAGCAAGAAGAGGTGATGATGAGCACACACAGCTTCGACCTCCAAGTTGCCGGGGAAAACTCCCTGTGCTACATCTCCAAGCAACAGAAGGTGAGATTACAGGCACAGGACAGAGCTGAACATCAGTAGCAAGGATGTGGTGATTGAAGCTGGAGATCTGGTTTAAGTTTAAAGCCTACACAGACACAGAGTGGACAGTGCCTGAGGTCCATACTGCTTATGTTGTCAAGCCTACACAGGCCAGGCATGGAGTCAATCCTGTTCTCTTCAAGTGTCTCACTCACATCCATTCTCTGAGCCCATGAGCTTCCCATGATTTTCTTGGTGGTCCATATCTCCTGTAGACGCTATGTTTGACATTACTGGGGAATGCAGAGGTTAAAAAGATTACAACGCCTTTTGAAATTAGGGGAAGGAAAAACTTTAGAGAATGACTTACACCTGGAAGTAGTTTATCATTCAAATGTAGAGATCTGTGTCAGTCATGTCTGGAGTTGGATGTAAGGACAAGGATGGTTGCTTTAAAAATTCTTTGTCAAAAGTAAAATAGAAAACCATAAAGTGGAAAACAACAGAGCACATGTTTAAGAAATTGAACTCTAAGACACAAATTCAATTCACTACCATGCTGACTGGCCTCTGGACTGTGACTGCACAGTAGTTCACAAGTCTGTTTTCAAAAAGTGCCAGCACATGCACACACATAGAGGTAAATATAATGTGTGCAACTGTTATTAATACATGATTTCTTGGCAGGCATTTTGCCAAGACTTTAACAAAGCTTGAGGCTGTCTACCCCAACATTCTTCCATTCAAGTTAGGATGCTATGGTCTGGATGGGTGGACTAGCAGAAGGTAAAAAATGGTTTAGATGGTCAGGCTTGGAGAGGAGTGGATATATGTCGTACTCTACCCAGAAGTTCGTAACGCGTCAGATACTGTAGGGGTCTATTCTGGGGCCTGTCCTGTTTATCATCTTTAGCAGTTGTCTGGATGAGGCAATGGAGTGCTAGCTCATCAAGTTTGGAGACAACATCAAAGTATCAGGGCGCAGCTGATATGCTTGAGTGCAGAGCTGCCATTCAGAGGGCCCTAGACAGGCTGGAGGAACGGACTGGGAGGAACCTTATGAAATTTAGCAAGGACAAATGCAAAATCCTACACTTGGGACGGAAGAGCACCTGCAGCAGTACAGGCTGGGACTGATGAGCAGAGGAGCAGCTCTGCAGGAAAGGATCTGGGTATCCAGGCAGAGGGCACACTGGGCATGAGCCAGCAGTGTGCTTTGGCAGCAAAAGCAGCCAAAGACATTCTGGGCTGCATTAACAGAACAGCCAGGAGGGTGAGAGATGTGTTTATCCCCCCTCCCTAGGTACTCAGATGGCACTGAACTACTGAATCCAGCTTTGGATCCCCAGTGCAAGAAAAACATAGACACGTTGGAGCAAGTTCAGCAGACACCACCAAGAGGTTGGGGACAAGAGCCTTATGAGCAGACGTTGAGAGAACTGGAGAAGAGATGGCTTTGTAGGAGACAACCAACAGCCTGACAGTTCCTACAAGGAGATTATCAAAAAGGTGGAGCCAGGCTCTTCACCACAGGGCATGATGGAAAGACAAGAGACAATGGACATAAACTAGAATGGAAGACATTTAGACCAGCTTTAAAGAATGGCATTTTTTACCATGAGGATAGTCAAATATTGCCCAAATAGACTGTGCAATCACCATCCTTGAAGGTTTTCAGTATCCAGCTGCTGAAAGCCCTGAGCAACCTGTCCTCATCTTATAGCTGACCTTCTCCTTCTTCGAACCACAGATAAAACTAGAGATCTCCTAAAGTCTCTTCCAACTTGAGACATTTTGTGTTTGCAAGGTATTTGGGAGCCTGAGCAATCACTTAAGGACCAGACACAATACCATGTGAATTGATTGGCCAATCACTCTGCAAGAGTAGAAACTACTCAAACAAAAGTCACAGTGAAACACTTGCAAAAAGCTTTGTTTGCATAGAACAATTCATTGAAAATTTTAGAGTAACAAATAGTTGAGTAAAAGTCTATCTGTTCTTCATAGCCTGAGAAAAAATGCAATTTCAGTGAATTTATGACCTGGTTAAACATCAGTTTTCCTTAATGCCCAGTCACCAGTTAGTAGATTGAAAGCTCTGTTTTCTCTCTGAGGACTGTCTTCTATACATGAAAAAGAATGAAAATGCCAAATACCAAAGCAGCTAGAAATATTTCTTTGATTATTACTATGGCATCTTCCAACTGAAAACTCAGATTGCTTCACTTCTGTTAATTAATTAAGCCCAGAAGCACTTATGCCAGGAAGTTTGATATCATCACCCCTTTTTACAGATGGGGGGGAAACAAGATATAACATTCATTCAGGGCCACTCAATGAATGAGGGGCAGAACCAGAAATAAAACCTGGGAATCCTGGCTCAGAGTCTCCTCTTATAATCTCTAGACAAAGCTTCTTTCCTGTAAAATTCCATCTAAGCTCTTCATAGAATAATTAGAGCCAATTTATTTCCTCACTCGTTAACAATGAAATCTGACAGGCTTTGTACTCAGGATGCTGAAGCTCAGTTAGAGGACCAAGGCTCTTCTCCATGAGGGGAGGCCTGGAATGTCAGTCTTTAGGTGGCTTAGCAGGGGCATGGTTCCAGCTGCCAGGTAATTAAACTCCTGCCTAAATCCCTGTGACAAAGCTTTAGGGAAGAACTGGAATGTAAATGACCAAAGTGACCTACCGCAAA